TAAGACAATCACCAAAAATCCAGTTACAATTATTATAAAGAGAAATGTTTCGTACGATGTGGATTTAGCCAGTAAATGTTATATGGTAATAAGAAATAGTGTCAGATTGAAAAAAGAAAACCATTACTTGCTTAAATTATTTTACTTGCATTATTTACATTAATTGGACTGTTATCCTCATCTTGGCATGTGGAACTAGAAGAATCCATTCCAGGTGGATGAAATAAAGGGTTCCAATCACCAGAAGAAAGCTGGAGCATACAACGGCCAAAACGTGAATATGGCAATGAAGATGAGGATAACAGTCCAAATAATGTAAATAATGCAAGTAATCATAATGTCTTATCTAAGAGATATAGACAGATATTAAATAATGTTGTTTAGGTTTTTTGTTGGAAAATATAATTTAGCAGATGTAGATAGTGAAAAATGGTAACCAGAAATGTACATTTCTTAAAAAGGCTAATTGAAACTTGCCTTGTAATGAGCTTCCCCCCCCCATGCTTGAAACAATAACAGCACACCTAACTAAAAAGGTGGTTTCCAAGAAAAAGAAGAATGGAAAATCAATTCCTGCTGAGAGGTGATTTTTCTTTAATATGACTTTTGATGATTTAGACTGGTAGATGTTAATTTGTGTAAATTTCTACATGAACATTTGTACCCACTAAAATAACATTCATAGTAATTATATATATATATATATATATATATATATATATATATATATATATATATATATATATAAAATGTATATTTGGGCAGCAATCATTTCTTTTAAAGATCTTTTGTTAAATATGGCAGAAAAGGAAAATTGAATTAATTTTATATTTAGTTATTCCAGCAATCTCACATTTTTCCATTTCGTGGGAGTAACAAATTTTTTCATAATATACACTGCCCCAAGTGCTTTTGGCCCCCTTCCTTAGCCATTTTCAAGGGGGTTTGTTTTAGGTGTTGTTAGTTTCTCTTCATGTTTTGAATGTTTAAGATTATTTTATTTTTGTGCTATTTTGAATATTAGTAAGAGTGTTTATTCTAAACCTTCACTTGTTGAGTATGGCTGGAACTCAAGTGAGTTTTTCCTTATTTAAAAACTTTTAACCCTCCATTCCCAGTATTAAATCAGGTGAGGTTGATAATAGGAGAGAGATGTTTGATATACAGGGCTTATCTTAAAGCAACATGTTTCCAGTAATGTGATTTATATAGAATTTTAGTGTTTTCAATCAGAATCTTTAAGGATTCTTGTTTTCAATCAGAATCTTTAAGGATTGTGGGTAGATAGAGGTTTTATTTATAGCACTTTGATCTGATAAGTGACACATGTGGTGTTTACTCAAGGAGGTGCTAGTATGTCTGGTATATGTAATTGATTGGTGACAAGAAACACAGACATATACTAGGCAGTAAAATTGATATACTATATTAGTCATTGCTATCTTGATGCACACACATTATTTAGTAGTAGGCATCTGTTTATCTCACAAGATAATGGTAGCAGTCCTGTTTTGTCAAAAATCAGTCCATTGGTGGTGAGACAGGAGTGAAATCTCCACCATGCTGGCTTGGGCAATAGTATATGGAGGCTGTGTGCTGCCTAGACCGTATGATCCACCCACTTTCTTGGTCATAGTGACAAGATCCAAAGGAATACAGGGCTATACATTTTGGGTGAGTTTGGCAACAGGAGTTGCCTGAAAGTTGCCAATGTGGACAGCCAACAACCTTTGGGGCTCCACTCAGGATTTTCTTTACATTCATAGTCTTTTCAGAGTTTGGATATGACTGCAAGGCAGTGAAGGTTTAAAATCAGGGTTCTCCATTCCTGAGATGAACTGCCTTCCTGGGCTGACAAGCTCTATCTATGAAAAGTAGTTGCTTATGAAGTGCCAGTAGTCCGCCTTTGTTCCTTTTCCAGCTTGGAGCTGGACTTAGTTGAGACTATTTGAGATGCATGGGAGCATTTTATAGACAGCGGAAGCTTTACCACACTCACCCCTGGCTATGACAACCTTTTGAACATATATAATGTACGTATATAAACATTACATACATCACATATTTCAGAAACTCCAACAAATTAATGTTTTATATATATATATATATATATATATATATATATATATATATATATATATATATAAAATGTTAGATAAACAAAAAATACTAGAAAAGAAGACAAATTTCCAAAGTCCTACACAAATAAATACAGAAAAGTTGATAACTGTGTAAAAAGATGACAGAAGGAAAAAGACATAAAATCAGATTTTAAGCTTAAAAAAATCATTATTTATAATACCGCCCTTTTGATCTTTTAATGTGGTCGAAGCTTTAATATTTTATCTTTTTGGCAGACAATTTAGGAATGATAGTAGCTAGATATAGTTTAGTGATTAGCTACTTCAAAAATTAAATGTGTAAGCTTTTGTATGAGAACATTTTATAGTACATGAAATAATGGTGGTGAAAAAGAGTACATGCATAAAATAACAGACAAATTGATTTGCAATGCAAGATAACATTTATCAAAACAAAATTAAAAGAAAAGTTTAAAACAAGAGTTTCTTTTGTTAGAAGTAAATTGCATACACAATGAAATGTTCATGAATATGGGACTTACTGTATTGGTGTTTTAGTGTGAAGTGTTCACAGCCTTCATAGTTTTAGTAGGGAAAATTCATGTCAAACAGTTCAAAAGAGGAAAACCCAGAAGAAAGAGAGAGAGAGTGTTGTAGAGTAGGTTTCACAGTGGAGGCTTCTATTTCACTGAGTCAGTCCTAAAAAAGGTTCGATGTACAAAAGGTTAGGAACTTGAAATAATAGTTAATGACGCAGCAATCCAGGTGTGGTGGTTGATACTTTAATGTCCGACATCGACTGACTGACCAACTCACTGAGCCCCCTGGCGACAGTTACTACTACTACTTATTATCTGTGGGAGAGTCTATTTACAATAGAATAGGTATGTTCTCTTATAACAGAGAGTAACTTTATGGTTCACATGTTTTTATATTCGAGAGCAGCTGCTGATACAAGGATTATTGAGGGCTGCTAGTGCTATTATGTTTAAGGTCATTACAATGATATTAATTTGATAAAAAAAGCATACTTTCCTTTTGTTATTTTTCCATGATCACCTGTGCCATAGTAAAAATCCTATGCTTGATTTCCTAAATACAGAGTTTCACTTGTATTTCACAGGAAGCTCAAGTTTTAGTCTTTTGGAAAGAAAAGTGGCTATACTTTTATAGTATAGCAACTTTTCTTTCCAAAAGACTAAAACTTGAGCTTCCTGTTTTCAGGGAGAAAGATTCCTTGAAAATGGTCAATATAGATTATATCAAAGACAAAGATAAATGGTAGATCATGAGACATCAACCAAAAATCAAAATGAATTAATCTATATGAAATGGTATCAGAATGTTTCCAGGCTGTATGTACTCTGGCTGTGCTGTTCAATGGAAATGTGTGTGGGCATGTTTTATTTATGTGTCATGTCCTTCAGGACATAGGCAATCATGGATCTCCACTATTTCCTGTCCTTTGTAACTCTTAATAAATTTTAAGCTGTTGTTATCCTCTGTCCCTCTTGACTTCAATCTGTCCTGTGTGTATCAATTTTTTTCTGTGCCCTAGAAATTTCAACTATCTCTTCCTGATGTTAAGTATAAGCTTCCTTCTGGTTTCCATTTTTTATAAAACTTAGTCGTTGCTTACATGTTCAGTCCATGGCATCCTCAGCATCCTTCTGTAGAACCACATTTCTGTTGCTTCAAGTCTCTTCTTCATCTTTGAAAAGATTGTCCAGCATTCACTGCCATACAGGAAGACATATCAGGATCAGGTAACAGTTCAGTAATCTTTTCTTTGTTTCAAACAAAGTTTTTCAGTCTCTTAATACTTAGCTTTTGGAATGCATCTTTGGCTATCCCAATGCGTCTTCGGATTTCAGTGTCACACTTTCAGTCCTCTGTTAGAACACTTACTGATACCAACTCAAGTGAGTCAGTCTGCCAATATCTACTTATGTTCTATTACAGAAAATTGGGGTAATATGTTGGAGCAGCTGTACAACTTTTAAGATGGTTGAAACATTCAAGCAATATGCTTGCCTCAAATTTTGTATGAAGCTCAGCAAATTTGCTCATTAATGATGCTTTGTCAGGCTTTTTTTGGTGAACCTTCTTTCAGGTGAACACAGGTTTTGGTTTGATGGTTGGTAGAGTGTATATTCAAGATGATAAGCCTTCAAAATGACCAATCAACAACAAAACACATAAAAATGCAAAAGACAAATGATGAGTACATTTTCCAAACTATTTATCAACTGTGTTATACGATTAGAATTGGTAATAGAGTTTGCCAAGAGATACTAGTTCAAAAAGTGCCACCTTGTATATTGGATGATTCTAAAAAATAATTTAACACTTCTATGAAAGTCTTCTTATTAAAAAATCAAATCTGATACGATTTCAAACAAACCTCGCCCATCCATCTTAGTCAACACATTTTTGAACTCTCCCACAAGAGATTTAAAAAAAAAAAAAAAAATTAAAATGTTAGCTCTTCTATAAAAATAATTTTTCATGCCTTACCAATTCAGGATGTAGACAATCATGTTGTTTTATAAAATTCCTCCCCCACCCTTAAATTATTTGTAAATTACCATGAATTCTTGGGAATGATAGTGGAGTGGCTTTCTTGTTGCCTATTCCATAGTTTAGAATTCAGAGTTGTCCTTAGTCTAGAGAGCCCAATCTGTCCTGCTATTTAAACCTTTTCTGGGGAAAGAGAGATAAATTTTGGCCATTCTCAAGGGCATTAGTGTGAAAGTGAATGCAAGACTAACCCAGAATTTGAATACTGCCTGGCAAATTCCACTTTCTGTGCTGATAAGCATTTCATTATCTGTGCATTCCTTCAATAGGAGAGCTTTTTTTTAAATAACAGTAACAGTTTTTGAATCACTCTCTATATAAAAACGAATAGAAACTCACCTGAGTTGTTCAAAAACTTCCTGAGTTTGTTCACACCGCATACAGAGGTCTTCGAGTTGAAGCTTTTCTCTCTGCCGAAATGCTCTTTCCTCCATGAAGCAGCCTTCAGTCACAGACCGAAGCTTTTGCTCTTGAAGAATCTGAGCTTCAAGAGTTTTCACTTGGGAATTAGCCTAACAATTAAGAATATAAATCTCATCATTACATGGCAAAAGCCAGAACAATTACAGAGACACCATCAGTGTCAGAAATTTACACAATTTTGTGTAGGGCAAGAATAGAACAATGTGAATTTTCCAGAGACTAAATGGCATTGCAGAGGATAAAATGAAGACAAGGAGTATATTTAAAAAAAGGGGATATTAACTAATGTTGTCTGGTGGTTAAGTAGTTTCTACTGGGATATTTTGTATTTTTTTTTAAATTTTTTTTATTTCACTCCAAGCAAGGCAATAAAGCCACTAAGATACAAGGGATTACAGAGTGTGAGAGAATATGAGAAAAAGAAAACATTATTAAGGAGAAGAAATAATAAAAGAACAGGAATTAAGACATAAGATAATGATTGATACAGCTTTTAAATTTTTAAAGACCAGAGATAATTGGAAAGCAAGAGGCTGGATGAAGGTTCTACAAGTGAGAAGAGTGAGAGAAGAAACTGTTAGCATGTATTGTGAAAAATATCTTGTCTACTATCAACTTGGGATAATTATAGTTTTCATCGTAATCTAAGAATTATCTTGAATTACAATTAATTTCAGAACAAATAAATTTCTTGCTTGATATTTTGTCAGTTGCTACCAAGTGTCTAAAGAATGAAAATGTTGGTGTAATTCCAGATTTGTTATAACACTTCTGTTGGTTTCAACCCCAATAGAGTGACTGCAAAGCACTTTCCCCCTCCCCAATTTATAGGCAGTAGCACACAAATGCATGCTGGGATTTCTTCGACATCAATAAGATGATCTGATTCTCAGATTCATGTGACTCAGTTCCGGTTTGGTTTGTCTAATGGCATATCAACCTCAATGGGTCATTTAATGCTGACAAAATTTTTATTTTTGATAATACTTTTTTTTCAAAAATGTATTTCTGGTAATTTTTTTTTCCAAAAATGTATTGCTGGTAAGCGAGGAAATAATATAATAATAACAAGAGGCTGGAAGAGGGTTCCACAAGTGAGAAGGAGAAACTATTTTTTTTTTCTCCCTTTTTTCTCTCTTTCCTTTTAATTTTTTTCTCTTACTTTGTTGTCTTTCCCTTCCTCTTCCTTCCTGTCTCTTTTAAAGTTTAAAAATCCTTAAGCTTCCTTTTTATTTTATCTTCAAACTATCATGTTGATAAACCTCACAAGATTAATTTCTTGCAGTGTGAAATGGCCATCCAGATGGGGTATTTTTGAATTTCATTTATATGTAATAATATATATATATATATATATATATATATATATATATATATATATATATATATATGTGTGTGTGTGTGTGTTTTCTGTTTGTATGATATTTTTATAGATACGATTTCAATTTATTTAAGTAAATGTTCTATTTTTAATTAAACAGTATTCCTATACAGAAACCATCATTTGACTGGATGTGTTGTACCATTCAGCAACAGAGAAGTGTTTGCTTTGCAAAGTCTTAATTACTGTTTATAAATGATACAGCACATCAGGTCAAATGACGGTTTTTGTATAGGATTACAGATTTGATTTCTGTCAGAGAACGCATATTTTCTACAAAATTTCTTGAACATTCAGGCTGGCAAATTATAATCAATACTGTTTATTTAGGAGCAGGGCATTGACTTAAGTAAATTGTAGCTATAAAATAACTATAAACAGAAAATATAATAATATATATTCATATAAAATATAAGTAATTGTCGGACTTAATCCATTTCATGAGATGATAGATAGATGAAGAACTCTCCATTGTTTATTGATTTAAAAAAAGAGTACAGCAGCTCAGAACGAAACAGCCAAACTACCCTCACATATGATTTCATTATAGTGGTGAATGCTTGTGCAGAACTGACCACACTTTTTGGAAGAGCTGAACAAAGAGAGCTGGTGCACAACTTGCCACAACCTCTCCAAATGACCCTGTTCAGGTTTAAAATTTAGAGTTGTCCTTCTAGATCAGTTGTCACTCAAAGCTATAGGACCAAGTTGTGCTCCTGCTATTTACTCATAGTCGGTGGGAGGAGAGAAGAGATAGATTCAAACCTTTCCAAGGATATTAGCATGTCAGTGAATGTAATAAAAGTGAGTGGATTTCAAATTGGCTCTCTGATTCCTCAGCCCATTATCCATTACTCCAATATGCCTGCCATTATTTTTATATATCGCTGTAAGACTTGGTACACTAAATTGACCTTTTTCATATTTGACTTTTTTCATATCCAAAATTCTCTTCATTAATCATCTGTCTGCCTTCCATCGGCATGACTGCTGCTAACCTCGAGGAAAGTTACTCGTTGTGCCTTCTCAGGCTAACATTCTCAGCTGACATGAAGTGGAAAGACTATATTGAATCCATTCTTTCTAGGTCAGATGCAGAGTATGTTGGTTCACTGTATCATGAGAGACAATTTTTCTCTCCAAATCTATCTTAGATATCTATAAGGCTACCATTTATCCACACTTAGTATATTGCTGCCACATACGATTCAGTGCTCCTGCTATTTACCTTAAGCTCCTTGATACAATCCAAAGAATCAGCAATATTATCAGCCCAGATCTGGCGGCTCAGCTTCAGTCACATTTGCCTCCCTTTGCCCTTTCTATGAATACTTTCATGGTTTGGGTGAGCTCTTTGCTATAGTACAGACTTTTTGAATTTAAGTGCAGTACTCGATTGGTGTCAAGATCTCATCAGATTACAGTTGAGCTGGCGAGATGTAGCCATAAGTTCTCTTTAACATTTTCTTATCTCATACTTCTTGCTTGTGGAACTCTTCTGGCTCCATGCTTTCCAACCAACTTTAATCTGCAAAAATTTAAATGCAATGTCAATCGCTATCTATTGTCCTCCTGGTTACTCTTTTCTCTTCCTGCTCATTATTAATGTTTCGGTTTTCTAATTCTTTCACACCCTGTAACCTGTTGTGTCTTAGTGGCTTTACTGCCTTGCATGGGGTGAAATTGATTAAGACCTGGACATTTCTAAGAAACAAGGGAATAATGAGAAGCATGAGATTTTTGCTCATCCATTCCACCTTTGCTCAGTCCAATGTCTATTGCTGGCAACAGCATTCTAGAGGATGATCCTTCTCCAGTAGGACCATCCATAGTTGTTAAAACCTATTGTGTTTTTGTTTTACAGCCATAGCAACATACCCCTATATGTCTAACCATCTCTTTTGTACAACTCCAGGTGGATGGGTTTTGAATTCAGAATTGTCCTGATGCTAGACTCGTTGCCAATCATGGCTAGAGAGCCCAGACTACCCAGCTATTCAACTCAAAGTCCATGTATTTGAATACTGGTCATCAGCCAAATTGGCTCTTTAGACAAACAAACCAACTTTTGTGGGTGGAGCATTGTAGATAATTTATTATATATTCAATGGGGTGCTGAAAAGTTCTCGGCCCTGACTACTTCAATTCTGACCAGGTTCTTGGTTGGTTTGAGAAATTTTCACTTTTATATAATCAAATTTATATCACAATCAATAAACCTAGACTTCAACTCTCATCATTTTAATATTGAGTATTTTTAACTTTGTTGAAAAATTAAATGAGTTTTGAATCATATTATTCAACAAAATCAGATATTTCCTTAGATCAATGGTTCCCAAATGGTGCGGAGCACCTCATAGGTGTGGCGGAAGAGGGTAGCAGGTGTGGCGGAAGAGGGTAGCAGGTGAGGTGGAATGGTCGAAAGACAATCAAAGATTTAGAAACAGTTTCCAAAAATTCACATGCCTAAAATAATTATGATTTCAAAATTTAAAATATTATTATGGATTACTTATAATTGCATGCATGAATCCTAGTAGAAATAGTTATAAATAATTATTGACCGATTTTATAATTTCAATATATTTATATTGTATTAAGAATATAGTAACTAGGGTCTGCAAATTGGAGGAGAGAGTTAACAATGATAATATTTCAACTTTGAATCTGTGTTTATCTCCCTTTAACCTGCACTCTAGACCTTTGCTGTAGGGCTGCTTGCACCTTTTTACTGGGACTTCCCTTTGGTGAGATGCTGAGAAAAAAGTTTTGGGAATCACTGGCTTAGATGAACTTAGCCTTGAACTAAGCCACAACATAGTAAGGGTGCTCAGTGAAAACCCACTTGCAATTGTCTGAGAGATATGATTGCTAACCAATACTCTAGATGAGAGGAGTACGGCACTATCACCTATCTGTCTTTAAATTATGATATTCACACGCCAAAAGCATATTGACAATTTTTCAGTTTAAAGCATCAAAAAAAAAAAAAAAAAAAAAGATAAAAATTGATCCTGCCGTTATAATAAAATGTCAAAACCATTTGATACTGGATTTAAAAGCTCCAAAAATGATGTCATTCAGAACAGTGACATAGTGGATACAAACATTGACTGTCCAAGTATTACTGTCACCTTGTGGTCAAAAGTTCAATCCTGGATCAGGTAGTGAAATAATATATCCTGGTTCAGTAGAAACAAAAGAATGGTATCACTGGGACAAAAATCACACAATGAACACATATAAGATATCCTATATCAGCCAAAATAATGGACACCTGAAGATGGCTGGAGTGTGTGCTTGGCCGAAACGTGTCTATAATAATCAGTAAGATAAATCAAACAAGTCATAGTATACTGACAATTATCAAGAACAAAACTATCTTTTATGTGCTGTGTACCTTCAGGACAGTGATGATCATGGCTCTCCACAATTTCCTGTCCTTTGTAAATCTTAATTAGTTCCTCTTTTTGCTATCTTTCCTAAACCATGTTCTACCATCCATTTAAATTTTCCAGGCCCTCTTTCCACATTATATGAGCTAGAAATTTCAACTGTCTCTTCCTGATGTTAAGTGTTATTTTTGTCTTTCTCTAAAACTCCATTACTGCACACATGTTCAGTTGATAGTATTCTCAGCATCCTTCTGTAGTACTGAATATTTTTCTCTGAACATTTAAACTAGGTCACTGTTACTCCGTGCTAATCAGTAAACCCAAACATATCTATAAGCTAAATAGAATTCAAGTAATTTAAGTACACAAAGGATTTTGATTCTTAATCTGCAGTTAGTCTTTTTTTTTGTCATATTGTTGTTCTTCTCTGGGACAGAAAGTATCCATTTTTAAGTAGCATTAAGAAGTATTTTCATTTTTTTTTTTTTTTTAAATCTTGACAAAGTTTAGTCTTTGTGCATGTAAAAAGTTGTATCAAAAGGACGATTTTCCCTTGACATCGCTATTCTTCTATACTACCTTTACTCTTTCGTCAATGTTTATTGTATAAAAAAAAAAAATGAAGATTAGAAATTTAATTAAACCCAAACACATACAAAGCGAATTATAGATTTTCTTTGGTCTTGAGAATTTACATAAAAGTATAAAACACTATTTATTGGATTGTTTATCTGCAAAAATAATTTAATTTTTCAACATTCAAAAAATATAATTTTTTATTCCTAAATTTATAAAATTTGACTAAATTATAAAAATATATGAACCAACTATAATGAAATCATTATTATTTGCCATTTTATAATTTAAAATTTATTGGTAATTAGCCAATGTTTTGCCAATGATTTTAAATAACACAATTTACCATGGTAAATAATAAATATTGTAGTTGGTTCACATATTTTGAAAATTTTGTAGATTTTTATAAATTTTTGAATAAAAAGATCTTTTTAAATTTATTTCTTTATAAAATTATAAATAATAAATATTGCATTGTACTTGGTTCACATTTTCATATTCTTGTAAATAAACATTGCCAAGGGAATCAGGTTTGTATACAGTAAGTGAAGTGGTAACAGAATAACTGCCCTTTTGAAACCCAGTTGTTTTTTTTTTGCAGGTATAAAGATTAAACTTTGCCAAAATCTTATTTTCTCTTTCTATTACAATTTCCCACACTCTTTGAGTAGTATTAGGTAGGAATTAACATGTCATTTCTGCCAAGATTTGAACTTGCATATCCCTGCTGTACAGTTTACATAGAGTGATTTTGATAATTTTTAAGCTTAGACCAGTTCACGTTTCACTGGAATTTCCATCTTTATTCCTACTTCATAATTAATGGCCGGAGAGTATTCAACCTAAAATGAAGAGTATTCAATCTAAAGAGGAAAAAAAAAAAAAAAAAAAAAAAATCAAGCCAAAAATAAACAGAGTTTAAATAAGTATTTTGAAAGTTCAATGTAATAATATGTTGAAGTCACAAAATAAGTTACAGAATTTGGGGGGTGTTTGGGTTATTTTTAAGAATGCATGTTGAGATGAAAATGACAATTATTTACCTGATGAAGTTGTATGGCCATTTCTTGCATTTCAGCTTCCAAACGGTCAGCATATGCTCTCTCCAAGCCATCGGATGGAGAGCGGACATCACTGTGCCAACGGGCAATAGCACTGGTCATCTTACGACGAGGTCCAAATAACCTGTTATAGAAAAGGCATGGATGTAATATTCAAGTAATAATAATGGAAAGTTTTTTTTTACTTTTCTGTCTTTTGTTTATCTTATTGTTGTACTATCCTTTTCTTTTGTTTATCTTATTGTTGTACTATCCTTTTCTTTTTTTTATTTTTACACTAAAGTTCACCCAATACAAGGCCTAAGAGCCACTCAAGCTAGAGGGTTATTGAAGCAAAAATTATGGTAATATGTTGGATAGATAATGATTGAACATAGAAGTCTTATACTCTTTAGTCATTCAAATGAATATTTTTCTTTCTACTTTATACAATTTAATGGTCGGACAGCATTTGACATGGAATCTTTAAATAAAAAGTAACCATAAGATAAAGAACACTAGACAAAAATTAAGAACTAAAATATACTTCATCACAGAATTCAAAGAGTACTAAAAACTATTGGTGTATCACAGATCCATCAAGTAGACCATTTCTGTCTGGATTTCTGAGTGTGGAGGAAGTCTTCAGGTGTCTTAAAATCTGAATAACGATCAGGGAATTTCAAACCAAATCACTTTATTCAATCTACAGTGACAGAGTGTTCTCATTCCACAGTTCATGTCTAGGGATATCTTGCCTTGGTAAATTGTTCAATTATTGCTAGTCTTGTCTCAATTGAGTCTATCCCTACTACCTGGCCTGAGGATTGAACTCACGATTATGATATCATCAAATTCACTGACCTACACTTTAATCCTCTAGGTCATTATCTCATGGGACAATTAACCAAGAAGAGAATCCCTAAAAAAGTAGTTTCTGATAAGACTTGAATTTGAATACCATATCTTAAGAGCTTGTCTTTCATGGACAATGCCTTAACCAATTAGGCCACAGAATCCTCTGGCTAAATAGGATAAATATCTACAGTCATATTGTCACCTCTTGACTCCAAATTTTCATACCAAATCCTTTTTTCTTATGTGGAATTAGTCTTCATATCATTTAAAATTTTGTATTTTTATTTCATGTTTTACTGAATTTAACAGGTTTTTAACCAAGAAAGTTTCAATAAAAAGCATCAAGATGAAAAGCCTCATAAAGAATTGTGAAAATGCTTCATCTGGGAATTCTAATAATTTAACACAATTACTAGGTAGTAAAAAAACACTTTATTTCTACATTGTACTCTAAAAGTTGGAGAATATTCAACTTAGATTTGATCTATAAAAAGTCTAAAAGATAATAAACCACACACAAAATGGGAACAGATAATCTGATAACAGTCATAGTACATAAATAAAATAATAATAAATAAAAAAAGTTAACAAGCAACACTATAAAATAGCCCCAAAACTGCAAACTGATCCACGATAATTTCCACCTAATAGTCCCTAAAATAATTTGAAACATAATTGTTACTGCCCACCAAAATAACCATTAGAACAATACAGTAGATTACCCACAATGCATCACTGACTTGTATATATAAAAAGTCAAGCAAAAACAATGCATATGGTCTGATGATTGTGTATAAGCATGAAACAGACTGTCACCATTGGGTGTTGACTTCAATGGCTCCACACACACTTCAAGAGTGGTGTTTACTATGGGATCTTAATGATTTGGTCATCTATGTTAAGTTTCACATGAAATATTCATTATTTTAAGCAGGTTTTCATCACATGTAGTTATGGAAAGCTAAAAATACAATTTGACATTTTTTTGTGCATTACAAAGCAATGAACACTGGCTTTTATATTGAGATCATGAATAAATGTCTGACAGTCAACCAGAATTTGCCAAAGAGGCATAAAAAAAATTGTAATTTTTATTTTATTTTATGTACTGTAATTTTATTGCCTTTTTGATTTATACAATTTCTCAAAAATTGTCAGGAAACTTGAGCAATGCAGGAATAAAAACAAATTTTTGATGAAATATATATATATATATATATATATATATACACACACACACACACACACATACATACATACATACATACAGGTGAAATGAAAAAGAATGGAGTATAATTCCATTGTCTAAATACAGAGTAGAGCTAAATATTATTTTAGGATATTAAAACAAAAACATTAAAAATCACTACACAATGGCAATTATGTTTCAACACTACAAATGTGTCTCCTTGGGCAATGGTAAACTACTGGCAAGTGAACAATTAATTTCAAAAACAGAATACCTCCTCATTTAAAAAAAACAAACAGTGTAGCAATTTTTAACATGTTTTTGTTTTAATATCCTAAATAATTATATATATATATATATATATATATATATAAGACTCTCTCATCATTTATCGATATATGGAAGGCCAGCAGCTCAGATTCTCGGAAACAAAGTCTGCCTGCATATACCATTTGATAATAGTGGTGAAGGCTTGCACAGAACCACTCAGACTTTTAGGAAGAGCTGAATACAGAGAACTGGTGCAGAAGGTCCCCAAACCACCCTCCGCAGGTTTTGAATTCAGAGTTCTCCTCCAAGAACAGTTGCCACCCAAGGCTACAGGACCCTGTGTATCCTGCTATTTACTCATAGCTAGGGGAAAAAGAGATGGTTCATACCTTTCCCAAGAGTATTAGCATGTTATTGAATGAATGAACACACACACATATATATATATATATATACAAATACAAATATATATATAAAATGATAAAAATATAGTTTTTTAAGGTATGCTATAATTATGGGTAAAAAGTGCTTAATATCAGGAATAGATTGTATATAAATATAAAAGTGAACACTGGGGTCAACACGAAGTCTGAAAATTGCATTCAATCATGGAACAGACTGTCAGTGCTCAGTGTTAACCTCAGTATCCACTTTTACACACACACATCTATATATCTATATAAATAAATCCAAATGCCAGTGTGTCACACTTTTTTCAACTCCTAGAGGCTGTAGCCCAACATATTATACCATTTTGTCCCTGATTGTTTTCCTCATTGTCTAGGTTGAGACTCTGCATACTTCAGGGTAAAAAAACAATCTTTTTTTTATCCAAAACACATGCACAAAACACAATGAAAAGGTGTGGATATGTTGGTATAATGTTCGATGAAAGAATATTATGGCTTTTCTGATACAACGATAGTGGTATGTAAGAACACAGCACATGACAAAAAGCCAAGAGACAACACATGACAAAAAGCCAAGGGACAACACATGACAAAAAGCCAAGGGACAAGGAAAAGGGATTCATACCATATATGAAGACAAAGAGCCTCATCTAAAATTTGAACTGTTTGCTGTAACTATTAAGCTGTATTACACTTCATATATGGTCATATAATTACTTTTAAATAATAGACAAAAAGTAGATTCTCAAACATTCTAAATCGGATATTCCCTTTTATTTTAGAACTGAGTATATTTAATTATAGAGGGATGAATCTTTGTAAAATTATGATTATCAGCATAGAAAAGGAATTTGGCAAGCAGGGATCAAATCATGGCCAACTGTTGCATTAGCTTTCATAAATATATCCTTGGCAAAGGCAGGCATCAATCTCTTCTTCCCTAACCCAGCTATGGGTTAAATATTAGGGTAGACAGAGTTCTATAGCCTTGGATAGCAGCCAATCTAGGAGAAAGACTAATTTGAATTCAAAAGCAGCAACAGAAAGAAAACAGAAAGCCACTCCCCAATCTTTCCCAAAAAGTCATGGCAATTCACAGAAACAGAATTTGTGGAGAGCTACAATTTCACTTTTCACTTTTGATTAATGCCTCTGCAAAAGGCATGAATCTCTTCTCCCTAAGTGACCATCTACGGGTCAAATAGGGTAGACCAGCTTCTCTAGTCTTGTATGGTAATGAGTCTAAGAGAACTTCTCTGAATTTAAAAATATGGAAAAGCAACAGAAAAACCACTTCCCTATCTCTCCCAAGAAGTCATAGTAATTCAAAGATAATAAAGAGTTGTCTTTCTTTTAGATATGTTGCTACTCAAGACTAGAGTCTGCCCTGATATTTAACACATAGCTAGTGGGGGCAAGGAGAAAAGAAAAAAAAATTGATTCAAACCTTTTCTGAGGGATTCAGTGTGAAAGTGAATGCATCTTTGGGGAATGGTAGAGGAGTGGTTTCCTTCAGCCTTCTCCAATTTTGAATTTAGAGTATTTTTTTTTTATTTTTTAAATTGACTTTACCTAAGCAAAGTAGTAAAGCCACTAAGACACAAGTGGTTACTGGGTGTGAAAGAATTAGAAAACAGAAACAGGAGTGAGAATACTAGAAGTGTAATCAGGAATATAGTAGATAGTGATTGACGTTGCATTTAAATTTTTGATGCAATCATGTTTTTCTAAAGCGCAATAGTGCATAGTGAATGCAACAGGGTTTACTGGAAACTGAACATGGTGCATCAGTTTCATTTTCAAAGCAATAGCCATTAGACTAGTTTTATATGTGCAGGTAGTGTAATAGTTATCAGTGATGAAAATAGATTCAATAAAATTGAGTTTGTATTCTACCCATGGAGCTACAAAGAATAGGAAGTTGTGGAGAGCCATAGTTATTGAAGAAATATTAGAAGTTGAGGTACTGGTGGTTGTTATTGTTGACATAAGTTTTATTGTTAAACAATCTATTTGCTGAAAATCAATATTCAAAAACTTCAAAATATTTCCAGAAGGGTTAAACAGACAAGATATTAGGGTAGTGTAATGGTTATCAGCACAGAAAAGGGAAAAGGGCAAACCAAGTTCAAATTCCAGCTTAGTCAATTGTGTTGACTTCACACAATTGTCTTTGGATCCAACTCTTATTAACAGCATGCTGTTTGTTAAAAAGCAAGGAAGAATGGGCTCTCTAGCTAGGGATGTCAGCCAATCAAAGAGAAGGAAAATTAAGTCAATTGGGTATACATGTGCCGTAAAATGAAAGAAAAGCATCAAAGTTTGGTCTGCCCATTTATTGGAAATGGTACGTCAGCAACAGTCCTGAAAAGCATCTTGTTTCTGGATTCAACAGAGAACATGGATCTGGAATGTTTCAAACTCTACCTCCTCTAAAGATCCAATTACACATGTGGTTCCTTCTTGAAAAGAACCTTCATCCCTTGGGATGGATAGGGATGATAACTGCACACTGATGGAACGCATTTCCTCTAGTATATGTTTGCACCTGCTGGGTACATGGCTGAATCATTAGAAGGTTTGCTTTCTGACCATGAAAGTTTAGATCTCACCATAGTTGATTTTTCAGGAAGGCGACTTCTTGATGCTATCAGCCTGGGAGGCGATCCCAGTGGGTGGCACCTTTGGAAAGTGCCTGAAAACCATATCACAAGGCTTGTGAGTGAAACTGGAGAGACAGAGACATGCGGGAACCATCAATGATTGTGAAGTAACAAGTCATCGTGACAGAGAGTTTGAGCATACAGGCCTTGTTCAGACTGTTGATCACACCAGATAATGCACTCTCTCCCAGAAACTAACTACGGTCCACTCGGCATAGTTGCAGTATAAACCACAGATGGACTCTGCGGGTGTTGAGCAAACAAATATACCTGAGCAGGTGTCTGCAACAGGGATTGGCTAGCTGTAGACAGGCATAGAAGAGGCCAGACATTAATACTACATTTGCACCCAAGCTTAAAGCATTAATATATATATATATATATATATATATATATATATATATATATATACACACACACACTTCATGTGCATTAAAATTTACATTGCAACATTTAATTTGAATGTCTAGAAACTGATGTTCACAATCAAGAAAATCCTCATCAATAAAGTGGTTTTCAATTTAATACAAATTCAAGAACCAATAATATTAAACAGGATATAAGATTTGTTAATTTACACAATGCATCCAGATCACATGCAAAAACAGAATGTTGAAGGACAAAGTATTGAAAGTCAAAATGACGAATGGACAAAATGACGAGTGTTGAATGGACAAAGTGCCAAATGGAAAAAGAGTCAAACGGATTAAATGATGAAAGGCCAGAGATATGCCTACAATAAAATACCTATTATTTAGCATGCAAGTATCTTGCCAATAAATAATTATTTTTAAATTTTAATCTGATATAGAATCCTCTGATGAAAAAAATCTTTGGACATAATTGCTAACATTTTTGAACAATGATCTGCATTCAAACCACATAAAACATTAAAAGAAGAGTCTAGATACAATTTAGTAAAAAATAAAGCATAATAAACGACCCTCCCCCACAAATCAGACTGCTAATTGATGATTATGGAGGCTTAACCACTTATTAATTAAATTATGCTAAAGCTAAGCAATAAAAAGTTTAGAATTGCTTAATTCATTATTTGAACAGAGTTTTTGAAATCATGATGATATGCTCGTTTTTACTTTGTTCAACATTTTGTCCTTTTGACATGATGTCCATTTGCCATTCAGTCAGTTCAACTTATTTTTCCATTTGACACTTTGTCTGTTTGTCATTTGATACTCTGACCTACTACCCCAGGCCCACCTGGTTGCTCAGGGTGATTATGGAAGTACACAAGTGGAGGGGTGCAAAATTATTGTTGCAGAAGAAATTAATTTTGCACTATCGATAAGGTTTTTTATGACTGTTAACTTGTATTGTTAATGGCATTGACTTTGATAGTTAGAGAGAAAGTAGTGAAACCAGGTTGCTAATCACTACCCGATGGGTGAGTTATGAACAAAGAAGCAAAGGAAAATTACCGATCACACTGGTCATTATATTTATAAATACAGAAATCAATACCGAGTGAAATCAAGTCAGGCATCATTTCAGGTTTAGGTTCTTGATTGCAATTATTTTATTTTGTTTTGGTACTTGAAAAATCAAAACTTTGACAGTCATTTTCAAAAGTACAGATTTCTTACTTATCCAAAGTTTATGGCCATATTACACTGAAATACTGGACCCCATATGATCACTGAAGTTAAGCAACATCATGCTTGGTTAGTACCTAGATGGATGACCACTTGGGAATGTCAGGTGCTTTAAACTTGAATGCACAGGTGGTGTAACGGATAATGTCTCAGAATTGTTAATCAGAGAGGCGAGTTCCAATTCCAGTTGTGTCGATATATTCATTTATATGCAAACACCCTCAGGAAAGGATATGAATACACCTCTTCTCCCCCAGCTATGGGTTAATTCGCAAGACTTGTATCACTAAATCAGTATTATTTAAAAATTAAAAAAAAAAAATTTGAAATTATTTTCTAATTTAAATAACCTGTAAAAGGTTGATAAACTGTAAAAAATGAATGAGTCGATCAATCTTGCTTATCTGTAGTAATTTGATGCCAAAATGGATGAAATTTGGAGCCGTTGAATCTTCAGTTCTGCATAGACTCTGCAGTAATCATCTGTCATATATTACTTTTTATCCATGCAAACAAAGATTTGTTGATTTTCACAATGCATCTAGGTGCACCCAGTTGCTCAGGGAAGTACACAGTTGGGGAGGGGTGCAAAATTATTGTTGCAGAAGAAGAGATTAATTTTGCATTATTGATAATTATAGAATATTGGGCGCTATTATACTTTGCACCCCCCATTCTCTAAACACTATATATATATTTTCTGCACAATAGTTATCATTATGATATTTAAATTAAATGTCTGAAAACTATTTTAAATTTAATACAAATTCAAGATGCAATAATATTAGAGGACCTGTGGTGATTTGATACCAAAAAATGATCAAATTTGGAGTCTTTGAATGTTTGGTTCTGCATAAACTCTGCAAAGTAATCATCAGTCATGTTTTATTTTTATTCTCCATGCAAACAAAGATGTGTTGATTTTTTACAATGCATCCAGACCCATCCAGTTGTTTAGGGTGATTATGAAAGTACACCATTGGGGAGAGCGGATTGGGTGGGTGCAAAAGCATAATAATGCTGGTATACACACCACAGTAGGTTATAGATTTCTTACCTCTACACATTCTTCAGCAAGTATTCTTATTTATTATTTCGACCTCATATCAAAGAATTGTTTTTTTTTCTTCTTCGCAAACTCCTTATATCATATTGAACTCTTTATTAACCTGGCTAATCTTTATTAATCTTAAACCTTTAATCTATTAATCTTTATTAACCTGGCTTATCACATCATAACATATTGAACTCTTTATTAACCTGGCTAATCTTTATTAACCAGGCTTATCACAGATTAAAGCAGACCATTTTTTTTCCTTTTACTATCTGTGCCCTTAAAATTGATTGCAAAGAATATAAGTAATTTATCTACTTACTTGATTCCAATTTCCTTCAGGTCATTATCTGTGAGGGAAAGGAAGACTTGCAGATCCACATCTTGTTCTTCAAAGATTGTCTGATATTTCAAAAGTCCAAGCTGCAGCAAAAGTTCTGTGAGTGTTTCAGGTTTACTGGAATTACAGTGTATACCACTACCTGAAACCATTCCATTGGTAATGTCAATCTTTGGCGAATTTGGAGGTAGGACTGGTGATAAACTAGGGTCACAGGGAGACGAAGGATGTTGACCTTCAGTATTTACAGGTAAATCGTTGGAAAATAAACTATTAGATGATGTGGTTGTCTGCATTTGAGGAAAGCCATCAAAAGTCGAGGTTTGGTTTTCCAGAGCAAAATATGACATTGGAGTTTTGCTCTCCGTAGATGTTTGGAAAGGCGTCGGAGTTGATAAACAGCCGAGATTAAAGTGTTCTGGATTTGACTCTGACCTGTCTGAGAGAAATGGTTTCTCATTCTGTTGGGGAGATCTCAAACATGGAATGGTGCCTGAACTGGCACTTTTCTCATTCATTTTCTGACTTTGTTCAAGAATTTGAGAACCTTTGGATGGGAAGCTTGCAGTCTTTGTGTAAGGATCAATTAGAAGATTTCTTAAAGGAAATGGCATTTGAGAAAGACCCTGTCCATAATGAGGCTCCGTATCCTGAAAGGAATAGTGATTAGATGTGAGAGGTTTGTAATCCCTTTGATTATCTGGCAAGGGTACCTGAAATTTACTCTTCTCACTTACTCCAAAAGGATTATATCTGTTTCCGGAAAACATTGGAAAACCATCATTTGTCCCAATTTGAAGATCACAGACTGATGTTCCCCAGGTTGGTCGGCACGGATCGGATGAATAACCTCGATCTGGAAAGTATTTTAACTCATAATTACTTGGAGAATTAATATCAAGACATGCCATAGCCATAGTTGCCACTCTGGAATTGTTAGCAAGTACTTCCTTATTATCAGAAATTTGAGAGGAATGTGAAGAATGCAAATCTGTGGGGAAAGCTGAGCAGAATTCCTGGGATATGTCTCTGGATTCTTGTGGAAGAATTCCAACCAAAGATGGAGCAAGGATGTCCTCACCGTCTCCACTGTTGTCTGGTGAGAGGCCTAAAGCAGCAGCCAGTCCCCCGCTTGAACTTGAACTACTGCGAATGGTCAATGCTCCTGTCCGTGAAAAGGCTGTGCTCTCATCTTCTGCATCGTACGACTCTAAAAGTTTAAAATATAGATAAGACCTAAAACATTTAAGTAGAAATTAGCAAACAAAAAAAAGAACTTACTACTTGGAAATATTAAGATGAGTAAGAATTAATTTGCGTTTTAGAGAAGCAATTATAATGACGAAGATATCATCTTAATTACTAATCATGTGGCAGTTAGGAGTAAATTTGGAGTCTGCTTACATATGATAAGGTTCAATGGAAGAGGCAGTGGATTGACAAGGATAAAAAGACCCCAAAAGCTGAGCCCCATGGATGAAAGGTAATGTTGTGCATGTGGTAAAATTGTCAGGGTGTTATTTATTTGGAGTTCTTAAAGTATTTTTTTTTAAGCACTTCATCCCAAGCCAAGTGGGAGTGCCACTAGCACGCAAGGGGTTACAGAGAGTGAAAGTAAGAGAAAAGAGGGGTGTTTGAGGAAAGGATAAAGAGAAGGACAGGGATCAAGATCAAGGCAATAGAAGATGTCAATTGACATTACATTTAAATTTTTAAAGATTATAGTTATCAGGGAAGCAAGTAAGAGGAAGGGACTTCCACTGTCAGGAAGTGCAAGAAGCTGTTGGAGTAGAAGAGGCTGTTCCATTTAACTGTTTTGACATTGCCATAAGGTTGCCTCTCTATGTCCTTTCTATAAATACTGGTAATTGTTCAAATGAGCTCTTTGCTATGGTACCTAGAGTTATTTAGTTTTAGCGTGACACTAGACTGGTGTTGAGATCTCATCAATTTACAGTAGTGTTGGCTAGACGTAGCCGTAAGTTCTATGATAACAGTTTCTTCTTTCACACTTCTCACTTGTGGAACTCATTTCCAGCTCCATGCTTTTCCAGCCAACGTTAACCTGCAAAAATTTAAATGTAATGTCATTTGCTATCTATTGTCCACTTGATTACTCTCTTCTCTTTCTGCTCATCATCAATGTTTCTGTTCCTAATTCTTCCACACCCTGTAACCCCTTGAGTTTTAGTGACATTACAGCCTTGCTTGGGGCAATTCTGATTTGAAAAAAAAAAAAAAAAAAAAAATGTTAATCTGTTCTACACCGGGTTCACCTGACCTTGGTTGGTTGATTTTGTTTTGTGGCATATCAGGTTTTTTAAATATAGTTTGTAGATCATAAAATGTATTGCTTGTAATTTCACTACAGATATGTATTCTTGATAATTTTTTTTATAAAAATATATTGCTGGTCCTTTTATTATAAAAGTGTACTGTTGATTTGTTTGGGGGGGGGGATTCACTGTTTGCTGATAGCTGGGACCCTAACAGGTGCTAACATCCCAGGTCAGGGTGGATCTAGGAAAAACAGTAATTAAGAGGTGGTGCCATGCTAACTCAAAACCTTCAATCTTTCGATCAGATGCCTTACCGCTGGACAGAGTTCATTGTCATACCCAGGATGAAACCTGACCTTGCACCAACTGATTTTTAACTTTTTTTTTTGACTGCTGCAAAATGCTTTGATGGGGAAAACTTTTTCCTAATGAAAACTAGATGAAAGAGTTCACTGAAAATTTTCCCATCCAAACTTGTGGAATTTTACTCAAAATATATCGAAGAGTTGCCTGCCTGATACCACGTCATTGCAAATAATGGTGATGAATGTATAACTGAATAAAATGTGATTGCACTTTATTTTTTTTTATTTAATGAACAAAAACGGAAATTTTTTTATAATGTAGCCCAGTGTTTCTTAAACTTTTTCATTCATGATCCCATTTTACATCATTAGATTTTTCGTCACCCCAGGCATTTAAAATACATTCGTTGTCACTATACAAGTCGCAGTGGTGCCACATGCACATTTTATTACTGCAGCACTTGTGTGGTACATCAGGTAAGTTTTGTGCATTTGTGAAATAACATATAAACTGAAATTCAAGTGTTTGAATTTAAGTTTTGCAATCCCAACATCTCGGGTTGTGGCCCATAGTTTAAGAATTGCTGATGTTGCCTGATACAGGATGTGACAGAAATGCATATACTTCCCCAGAAATATCTCCCACATAGTGGTAAGACATTAGTGGCAATGGTGCCTGCATCTAACTAATTTCTTACTATTATGTGGGTGGTATTTCTGTTACATCTTGTATAAAGCAAGCTAAGTTAGTTAAACTTTAAGATGCATGGAAAAGAAAAGTACTGAAATATTTATCCTAAAGTCAGTATTATGGATAGGTGGGCAAGCATGCAAAGTTTAGCCATGAAGTAATGGAGTAAGAAAGGGTGGGGAAAATCATATATAAAACAAAGAAAATTATATAGATAAGGAAAGAAAGTAACACTTCTGCTGCTGCGGACATACTTATACATCTTTATGCTGTTGACATATATATATATATATATATATATATATATATATATATATATATATATATATACATTTTCAAGACACCATGAAATGGAGGTACATAGTGTTTATATATTATAAATTATGCTGCTAAATTTGCCACTTTTGCCAAAAACCAGTGTAGACATATAGTAGCATACAATGCAACTTGTTTGTAATATATTTTTATTCTATTGTTATACTGTAGATGCCGTTTAGTATAGTCTGTACAGCATGGTATCTGATCAAAACCAAAATGGTAGATGAGAAATCATGGTCAGTGTCTTTATTGTTTTTTCTGTAAATGACAGTTTCTTATTTTCCCTACAATGGGCCAGCACAGCCAGGCAACAATGTAACAGTGAAATTATGAATATATATTTAAAAAAATAAACAATAAGAAAAATAATCTGGAAAGAAAAACAAAATCATTAAATTAATCTAGAGAAACTGACAACAAGTAACAACAAATTGGAAGATCATAAAAACTTCACTCAAGAAAAAGAAAAATAGCATTTTCTGTCTGAATTTCTGGGATGAGGAATATTGTTTATATTTGGACTATTGTCCTCATAGCTTTTCTCAGCTGTATATTAATGTGGGTAACCTACAGAGGATTCTGAACTGAACCCTTTATTTAATCTACAGGGATATGCTATTCTCATTTCACTGCTCATGTCTAGGGATATTGTCTATTTCTTATTTTTATTTAGTACAGGGTTCAGTTCAAAATTCCCTGTAGGTTACCCAGATCAATATACACCTGAGGAAGGCCAGAAGGCACAACAGCTGAAACATTGCGATAAGAACAACAAAGATGAGGACAAGAATCAAAATATAAATAGTGTAAATGAAATTAGCATCTATTATTAAAAAAAATCCCCTAAAAACCTTTAGCAACAAGTTAGTTAAGTGCCATATGTGATACATACTTGGGTGATCATATCTCCATTCATAAACTCAATAGGCAAAAGATTTTACTGCAGTAGGTTGCGGTTTCTTTCTGCAGTAGACTGATTGCAATCCAAGGCTATAGAGACCCAATCTGTCCTACTATTCAAACCATAGCTGGGAGAAGAGATCATTTCGTTTGTTTTATGACATATCAACACCTCAATGGGTTATTTAATGCTGACAATTTTTGTTGTTGATAATATTTTTTTTAAACATGTATTGGCTTTTCCTTCAAAATATATATATATATATATATATATATATAAATGTATGTATTTTTATTTTTTTTTTGCCTAAAATGTATTGCTGGTAAAAAATTTTTCTTCAAAAAAATTTATTGCTGGTAAAAAATTTTTCTTCAAAAAAATTTATTGCTGATAAAAATATTTTTTTTTTTTACAAAGTATTTTTGGTATTAAGAACTATTTTTACACTTTCATAGTTTGGGGGTTAACTATTTACTCATAACTGGGACCCCAACAGGTGCAACCCCCTCCTGCCCCAGGCAGGGTGGACCCCGGAACACTAGCAATTTTCCATGGTTCTCTAAACCTCCTGATCAGAGGCCTTGCTGTTGGACATAGATTATCATCTTACCCAGGACATGGACATAGTTTATTGTCAAACCCAGGACAGGGAGAAGAGATGGATTCATACCTTTCCCCCAAAGGTATTTGCACATAAATGAATGTAACAAAACTGACTGGAATTTGAACCCGGCTCTCCAATTTATCATTCCAAGCTATTATCCATTACACCCCAATACAGAAATCAAAACTTCTACAAAGTAATGTTATTTATGAATTCTCATGCACATTAGGAGGATGTCTAATAACCATACAAATTCCAACTGAAATAGTGATTGTATACCCACTAAAATATCATATCGCCTAACTTGTCATCTATTTGACAACAATTCCATTAAATCACATATCACTAACCAACATAACAAAAATACAATAAATCCAACAAATATAAACATATACAATAGAAATGGAAAAAAAGATTACAAATATTAAAAGCATTGACTATAAAAATGAATAAAAATTAAATCAATTTAGAAACTCATTTTTAAACATTACAAGCTGATGCAATGATACAATATTTGAAAACTAACAAACACATACCTTTAAGCACATTCCTATTAATTGACTACATCTCTGTGATTATGGTATACACAATTTGGTTGATACTTATGCAATCATAATCCTATAAATTTTCATTAACAATGGCTTATAAGAGCTAAAAACGCTCACTGCTAGATTTGCATGGTATTTGAATTGAGGTTGTATCTATATAATAACTAACTACATATGCACATGAAAGACAGGAGGACACTGAAATTCTAAACTTTAAAATTTTTTCTTTTATTAAATTTGTATTTGAATATACAGTTTAGCTGATTTCATTTAGTTTCTTTTTATTCCTTTTGTTATTAAGTATTCCACATTGTGATAATAAATCTGCCAAGAAAGATGAAATGTTTTAAATACAAGATATTTTAAAACAATAGGGATGAGGTTTAAACAATATAAGTTAGGAAATGCTAACAAGTTACTAAGTGTGTGAGAGCCCAGAAAGTAGTTGGCTTAACGTGTAAACATACAAGGGATTGGGAGAGGAAATTCACAGTAGTTAAGATTAAGGCAGCAGATGGGAATTCATCGCTAGTCCAAGAATTATATTATTTTCTTCTTAAAAATAGCTTGATTAATTCACATATATATATATATAAAATAAAAGAGTTTGGTCAATAATATCAAGGAAAAAGGGTGAAGTATTTACCAATAGTCTTTTCTTTTCGAGGACTGTCGGAACTTAGATTCTTTTAGTCAAAGCTATGTTCTTGAATCAAAAGGACCAGAGTTGACCTCAATAGTCACGACTGTGGGTTCAGGAAGCAACTGACTAGTTGGTACGAACACCTGTTTATATATGTTTTTTGGATCCTCTAGAACCCAGTAGAGACTTCTAGAACGTTCCATTCTATTATTATGAAATCTAAAGGGTTTGGTGAATGGGAGCTTTTCGTAAGGTAAAAAGGGCATCTAGTAGCTACAGATTTAAGTCATCATTTTAAGTTAGATTGTGTATTTTATAGTATAAGTGTAAAGAAGTAGGACAAAATGGGGCCTTGTAACACCTACAGATAATGATGGAAAGCCTAGATTTCTTTATATAAAGTTATTTATTTGAGGAGCCTGACATCTAATTCAACTCACCAGAATTGATGAACTATTTAATAATGTTTTTCTTTTTCTCATATTCTCTCACACTCAGTAACTCCTTTTTGTCTTAGCGGCTTTATTGCCTTGCTCCAGGTGAAATGATTTAAATAAAAAACAAAGAACATACCTTTGCTACTTGAACTATCCAAATTATGATCCTGTGGATTAATTGGTGAAGTCACATCCCTATATCTTAAGAGAGTATTTTCCCGTTCTTCATTTCCTTGGGTGAAGGTGATGTAACCTTCTGGGACATAAGAATCTGTTTAATAGAAAGAGAAATTATACAAACAAGCAGAAATAGAAATCAAAATATCTAAACAATTTAAAATCATCATTTACTAGAAAAGAAATGAAAAAATATATTAAAACTTCAACAAACTAATGTTGTCTATGAATCCACTTGGAAAATGACTAATAATAATAATAATAAACAAACAACACATACATTGGTTACTCAACTATTACATTATCCTGCCAATTAATGTGTCACTTATCACATAATAATTAAATTGCATATCATTGGCCAACACAATATTATATCACGTGAACTGAAAAAAAAATGTCTACAACAAAGCATAAAAACAAAAGCTTAACATCAATAAAATTTTATTAAATTTAGGGGAAAAAAAACTTTAATAAATGTAAAAAGTGGAAAAACCAAAACATCAACTGATGTGAAGATGCAATAGTTAAACAAAACAAAAAAACAAACAACAAAAATCTGACATGACGCATGAAAAGCAATGATATTTGAAAAATGATGAAACTAACATAGCGCAAAAAAGAAAAAAAACTCTTTCATAATGGCTTATGAAAGCAAAAATTTTAGGGATATCTCATGGCATAGTAACCATGAGTTCAATCTCTGGGCTGGGTAGTACAGACTTAGATTTAGCTGATACAGGGAAAGCAATAAATGAGCAGCACTAAAAAAAAAAAGAAAAAAAGAAGAACATGATATCCTTAGACATGGACAATTGGACAAGAACAATCTATCTTCACAAATTAAATAAAGGGTTCAGTTCAAAATCAACAGTAAGTTACCTGGATTGATAAACACCTGAAGAGGGCTGGAGCGTACAACAGCTGAAACGCTGTGATAATAACAAATATGAGGATTTTAGTCCAAATGTAAATGATGAAAAGTACCATACCAATAAAAGTACCATACCAATAAGTTTAAAACAAAGTATATAATGAAAGCTGAAAGCAAGCTTTGAAATACTGCTGTGAAACATGGAAAGTAAGAAAATTAGTTGAAAAACTCAGAAATATACAAAAGATGAAGGGAAAGAGCTAAAAAATATATTGATTTGTAATCAATATTTAATTAGCAGGTAAGAAAGGTGATTGACCAAGTTAAAGTTTCTTTGTTTAAAGCCACGCTTTGTGTTAGGTGAACAAATACTGATCACCTACAGATATATTGTTTTTAGAGTTACTTTCAAGTTGAAACTAACTAGATATAATATGTATATCAAGGCACCTGTTACATATGTGCTGAGAAAAAAAAATATACTTACTTGGATAATTAGCAAGTTCAGAGGATTTTGATCTTTCAATAAGCCGTGCAAAGGCATCAGGCCCATCACGGATGTCAGGAGGACCTGCAATTAAAAAAAAAATATGGCTAAGAAATGAAGAAGAAAAACAAGTCCAAATACAATCCAGATATTCAAGTCAGAAACATAAAAATTTTATTTTGACAACTTGAAGTTGGGTGGGAATGTTTTAAAATATATTGATAAAAAAAACTGTTAGGGGATGCTAACTTACTTCCCCTATAAAGAACAATAACTCAAAATAAGTTACTTCTAGTAACTGCTAGTCAGAGCATGGCACTTCTGAATTAAACATGGTAACAAGCTGACACACATGTGGAATTCATGGTTTAAATCCAAACTATTCCTTGCTGTTTCAGTCAGTAAATGAATAAAAATTATTGTGTCATGGATTAAAATACACTTGTCTATTTTCATTCGTTTTTGTTCATCTCAACAACCTGGGATATAACAAAAGCCTTTCACTAAAACCAGAAATTTTGAATAAAAATCTGCAAAATGTATATGGGTTGGACTCTTGACGCAAGGAAAAAAAAAAGAATTGAGAAGACACAAGCCAGAGTAAATCAGTGTATAATAATAATTATTTATGTCAGCATTTCAGAAACAGCATGAATCCATCTCATCTCCTCACAACTATGATAGACTGGATTCTCTAGCCTTGGATATCAGCCAGTCTAGGAGAAGAATATTCTAAATTCCAAACTGTGAAGAAGGCAATGAGAAAACACTCCATTATCTTTTCCAAGAAATTGTGGCAATTCAAAGATAATAAAGAAATGGAATCTATGGAGAGTCATGATCAGCTATATCCTGAAATTGTTCTCAAGGTATCAGGAATTTAACATGTAGAAAACCAAAAGCATAAAGGTAATTTCATGGCCGGTCATTCTTTGATTTTGTGTTAACAACAACAAAGACAAAAACAACAAAAAACAAAGACATACAAAACGGTAACAAAAAAAAAAAAAAATCAACAGCACAATACAAAAAACATTGCATTTTAGTTTTGGAAGAATAAAAAATTCTAAGTGCTAAAGATGTTTGTTTAATCCTTTTCTTACCTCTTGCCATTTTGCTTTGTATTGGACGACCAATGACTGTTGGATGATGCAGTGGACGATTTCCAGTGAGGAAAGTTGTGCTTTCTTCAGAAGAGTTAATGTCTTTCTCTAATCAGAAAAAAAAAAGAAGAAATAAACAAAGCATTAATAATTTCTTCTTTGGTTCAAATAAGTCTATTAGAACTTTACACCTGTAATTATAACAACATCCATGTTTTTCTGTTGGATTTTTATACACATTAAAATATTTTCATTTGTCCTTTATTAATGACTTCAACTGCATTTACGCAAGAATTTTTTTATAACTATATTTTTAGGCTTAATCTGCTGAGAGTGAAGATTGCTTAGTTTCAAAAACAGGAAATTTGGGACAAAAGAGATAAAAATACCTACAGCTTTTGAACCGTTGATATATTTCCCATATGAATAACTTCATTCTCATTTTAGTCATTAAATTTATTCTAGCATGACATTTTTAATAGAATAGAACTGCTATTCTCAACCTCAGTGCCATGGCACACTAGTGTGATCCTCTGAAGTGTGCTGCAAATTATTGTCATGGCATATGTGTGTGTGTGTGGGGGGGGGACTAGTAATACTTCTATATTTACAACATTCTAAAAACAAATACAATTAAAACTAATGCAATGCAATATCATTTCTTCCACATGTCAGTAATTTGCTAGACAATTTCCTCACAGATAATCAGGAGACTTAATGCAACAGAAGAAATGCAGAGAGTACCATGGATGAAGCATGTAATAAATGAGAAAGTTTTTAAAAAAATGGGAAGAAATAAAAAAGACACTTATGGTTAGAAACAGATGAAATTTTTGGGACGCCTAATGAGGAAAGAGGGTTTGGAGAATTTGACACTCACAAGATATACTGAAACCAAAAACAACAAATAAAGTACTTAACAAGCTTGTGTAAATGGATATCAAGTAGTGGGAAGGATAGTAAAAAAAGCAAATATTACCTTAGAGCTACAAAAAACAGGAAGCTGTGAAGAGCCATGATTAAACTTATCTTGAATTGATAGAAGAAAAAAATGTACAAGGGAAACAACCTTTGTGAGTTAGTTCCCTTGCATTTTTGTTTTAACACACAAAATAAATTAGCTGTTATTTGAAATAAGCAAGTGACACGGAAGTCCAAATATGAATTGGACTAGCGAAAGAGGCATCCCAAAAGCTAAGCAAGGTACCAAGAAACAGAAAAATTTTGGTAGAAACAAAGGAAAAAAAATGGTGGTTTACTGTGTGATATCCATCCTTAGATAACAATGAATGTTGGACAATCTCCCCATGAATGAGGAAAAAATTAGAGGCAGCAGAAATGTAGTTCTACAGAAGGATGCTGAGAATTCCATGGACAAAGCGAGTAAGCAAGAAAGGAATCTTAAAAAATGGCAAGACAAAGAATGCTTATGCTCAGAATTGGGGAAAAAAAAAAGCTGTAATTCTTCGGAAATGAGGAAGTGGGGATTGGAAAATGCAGGGTACATTGAGGGGGACAGGAGAGATGGGGGCAGGCAGAGAGTAAACTATTTGATGATCTTCTGTAAAGGGATCGTGGAATGGGGGGCGGGGGACTTAGCAAAGAGAGAAAAACTGGTTCTCTTGTTAATACACTTCAGGTGCACCCACTGAAGACAATAGTCATGGACCACAGAATCCATGTTGTTCAAGTCCTGCCTACACAACATGAATATATATATATATATATATATATATATATATATATTTGTAAAAAAAAATAACTCTATAGTCTATTAGTTATTTGCAGTAGAAAAGTACTTTAAATATGTAGGAATAAATTTTAAATATTAAAAATATGACTTACTCATAATCAGACGACCCTTTTAAGAAATCTTTATGTATAAAATTATAAATTAAGCGGTCAAATAAAAATGCCAAAAACTTTTTTATCATTGAAAAACCCAGATGACATGTGAAAAACAGATATCATTGTTTGTGAGCAGGCACACATAACCCATCTTAACAGATTTTGAAAGTAACTTATATTTGATACATAAGTTGCCTAGAGAAATTAAAACCCAAACACCCCTTATCAAAATGATTGAATTTTTCTGTAACCTTAATTTAGAATATTAAGATTGTCTGTGCTTATAAGTGAAATAAACTTTTTAATAGGTTATTCCAAAAATCACTTGAGAATGAAATGGAGCTATGGATTTTAAATTTAATTTTATAATTAAATTCAAAATTTTAGTTTGTTTTGAAACATGGTAATTTTTGTGTAGCAATGGGACCATATTTTTAAAATAGAAAATAATTTTATATATGCAATTTATATATATATATATATATATATATATATATATATATATATATATATATATATATATTATTTGTATATTATACATGCATGGTACTTATTGGAAAGTGCTCAATATATATATATATATGAAAAGAATGAAATAATGGGGCAATGCCAACATAATAATAAATATTTACTTTGTTACTTTAATAATAATATGACATAATAAATTAACTAAAATATCTAAAATATTACAATTTAATTAATAATATAACATAACTTCTTTACAAAAAACATTGCTGGAAAAAAAAATTAATTTAATTTCAAAGAAAAAATTTATAGTTGGAAGAAAAATCTACAGCTGAAAAAATGAAAGATATAAACAAAAGCAAAATTTCAGGAATGTGTGCACATGTAAAAGAATATTAAATTCATAAATATGCACATGTACAAAATGGAGAAAAAAAGTGGATTGAAAAAGACACAGAATAAATTGAAAAACTTGGAAATATTGTTTATAACCACAACCCCTGAAGACTGGAAGTTCTACCAAGAAACATCAATATTAGAATGAAAATGATATTTAAAAGTTAAGCAATATTTTCATATAATTATTATATATATATATCCTTAGTTTTAAAACACTATTTATATTTACTAGTAAAATAGCCTTGGGGCCTCTTTTACTGGGACCAGCAAAGTAATCTATTCATTTATTAATTCCATATCCTGATTGCTTTTGTTCCTATTCCAAATCATAGTTTCTGTTTTGGAAATGTTTATCTTGAGTTCTTTTTTCTTGAAACACTTGGTAGAGGATGTTGATGATTTTGTTTAAGATCATTCTTACCTCGACTATGAATACCTATATCATCGGTACATTAGACTTGGTATGGAAAGCAAGAACATTGTTTTCTATTAGTATATTCATTTGGGATGTGGTATGGAATGATCTGTTCCCATCTTTTCACATCTGTTCTTGTACACATGCATAGCAGTCTAGGAAGAGATTAAATATATTTGGGCTCTCGTTTACTCCTTGTTGTACTCCCGAGGAGTTTTGAAATGTTTTCTTATAGGAGTCCACACCAGACATGTACAACTTAGTAGAATGATGTATTTCTTTTATCAGATCAAGATATACAGTTACTTTTAAGCTTTCTTACTGTGAACAAAAGTCAGATCAAGAGCAGGTTGTAATTTTTGGTCAAAAAATTAAAAACAAGATTTATTTTTTCATCATGTTTTTTATTAGAAAAAATTGGGCATTTTGATTCCCTGAAGCATTTGCTATATTAGAAATGTATTTTTTGTCGTTTGCTAACACATGAATGGATCAGAGACAGGGATTTATTTAAAATAGCATTCCAGTTAATGTATACATCAATTATTTAAAAATGAATGAGTGTGTGTGTGTGCACACATTCAGTGAGACAGATGTCCTCTTGGCAATATCTGGTGCTGGTTCCAATCGAATACAACAACATTTGACCAAGGTACTTTAATTTTTTATGAGCTGGTAATGAAAAATTCTTGACAAAATCTAACCAAACAGAATTTAAAAAAAAAAAAAAAAAATAAAAATCTCTTTTTGATTGGTCCAGGATGTTTTTAGCACTTCTTCGTTTTGTAATAATTGGATTAAAAATATCTGTAAGTGAAACTTGAACCATAACTTTATGGGTAACCTGTGGTCATCATTTCTTCTTTTTTTTTTTTGTTTTTTAAAAATTCAAATTAATTTCTTTTAAGATCTCATCATGGGAAAATTCTGCTGCGAACCTTGTAGATATATACATTAAAAAAAAAAAAAAAAAAAAAAAAGAGAGAGAGAAAGACTGACCTCTGGCTGCCATGTGTTGGTTAATCAAATTCACAATGTTCATATGGCCATTCATTAAGGCTAAGGACTGAGCAGTGTCTCCACTGTAAGTTTTTGCATTTAGACTGACACCCTGCAGAAGAGAAGAGAAAGGAGAAAATATGCAATAAAGTGACTAAATATTTCATGTTGCATCTCAATTCTCATTCATATCGGTCTGCACCAAAAATTGGTTAAACCCCCTGGCTGCACATTCACAAAGAAATGGAAGATGCAAACAAATGCCACATACAGGAATGAAAACATGAAAATTTCATTAACGGCTTTGATAGCTCAGAGTCTGGTTAAGTAGATGACACTTCTGCCATGTCAATCTAACAGATCAGTTATCCCCTTCTACCAGTTCTCTGACTATCTACACTGCATGACGTGTGCCTGGCAACATGAACGGGAAGGAGTGGAACTACCTGAGGAACAGTTTGTCTATTGCTAAGAGAAGACCAAATTCACTCTTGATCTGAACTTAATATAGAACAGCAAGCGGAAATCATCAATATCCGGCTTTGCTGTCACTTGACACCACATTTTTTCTTTTACTTATTTGATCATTTGATTCTCTTTGATTAAGTGGATGCCATTTAGAAGGTCCAGTTCAATATTTTCCAGCTATAAAATAGACACTTTCTTCTTCTAAGCATGAGTCTCCATCATAGTGTCACAAAGAAAGAATGTTCAATATCAGAGATAAAATGTTTGTAGATGCAGACAGTTGATATGAGAACCAACACTTTGGGATGACTGAAGCAATCCCCAAACCATATATTCTGATAGAATGATGGTCAAGATATATGGATGAGGAATTTTTAGTCATTAATATCTGGTTTTGGTTATTTCCATCAAAATGAAACAAAATTGCTGGAAAAAAATAAATAAATAAAAAAATCAAAAAAAATCACACACATTGCCTATTGTTCGGACCATTGAAGTACAAATCAACATAAATTTCCCTCCGTTTTGAAGTCATCTTCACAATCATGAGTGGCCTGCAACATTTGCCAAGGATTCCTAAGTCAATGCCTGTTAACATGGCAGTGACATTCAATCAATATCAATGAAAACAATTTATAAAAGAAAACCCTAATTTCAAATCACTGCACCATGTTGCGATAATACAATAGCATATATCTATTTATAGCCAGTTGATAATTATAAGATTTGGTTGGCCAGATCCAAATGGTTTATCAGGAAAAGCTTAAATTAAATTGTGATACTATTTGAATTTTGGGGGCAAATTAGATTTTAAGAGATCTGATGTTGATCGCAGTAGAAACAATATATAAAAAAAAATTGAAAAAGTGAGTTCAAATTCTAGCTCAGTAGTTTATGTTCATTTATACTAATACCATTGAGAAAGACATGAGCCTAATCCCAATAGGTCAGGCATTACTTCCTTGTATGGTAAACACCAGAATAAAACTTGTTTCATATTATATAAAGAGAAGTTTGTCACTGTTAACTATCTCAAATGTCAGGAAAAAATCAAAAAACACAGTCCACAAATAATCTACTAGGTCACAAAATAATTGTATTTTTTATAGTGACTCTGTTAGAGAATATTTTAATAGTTTTCATTTAAAGCCCCACCCCCTAAATAAATAAATGTAAAAAAACTTAACTTACGTATTGGAGAAAAAGTTGTACAATGATTTCATGGCCACCCGCAGCAGCTTCTAAGAAAGGAGTCAGACCAGTGCTGGGGTCTCTAACAATATATAAATAAAATGTGAAATTAGGGGGAAATATATATATATATATATATATATATATATATATATATATATATATATATATATAATATGCACAAACAAATACACACACACAGAGGGTGTGATGGATAAATTGTCGAAATTATGCAAAAATGAAATAACACTGACATTTCATTTTAACAGATATATTTACCAAAATTACACAAAAATATCATGAAATAATAAAGAGTAAATTTATTCAATAAAATTGTTATTGGTTTCAACTAGGGCCTCCAGACAACTTTGGAATCTCCTGCAATTCTTCTGGATGTTCTCCTTGTTTAAGTTGGTGAATGCTAACATAATCCTTTTTGGTGTTACAAGGAGCTTTGTTGATCTCTCACTCAACTATGTCCCCCACAAATAATAATCAAAGAGGTTGCAGTCTGGATAGTTAGGTGGCCAGATGTAAGGAGTGATGTGTTTGCAGAAATTGCCTGACAGCCATGACTAGATTCTCCTGCTTGTTTGAAATGGTGCTGAGTTTTGTTGCCAGACATTAAGATCTTCCAGCAGCCACCCTCTTGGACAGGGCAGCACTGCCTCCTCAAGGAACTTGATGTAGACCTCTGTGTTTAGTCTGAGCTTCTCACCAACAAATTTGAGAATTCTTTTCTGATCAGAAAAGATCAGAGTGAGTTTTCTGAGCTGCTGAACCTTCCTAATCACCATCAGAGTCAACTAACTTTTTCCAAATCCCTTGTATTGTCCTCAGATTGATACTCTAACACTCTCAAATGTTCATATTGGAGCTTCCAGTGTGAATGCAAAGCAGTAAAGCATACGGTTTCCAAATTTCTGGAGGAGTGAATTGCGTCACAGAGCTCTTTTTCTAGCAGATAGTGCCTAACTGACCTTACTATAAAGTGCAATCAACAAAATCAAAAACAGACAACACACATGTACAAAATTAAAAATAAACAAACAAGCCACTCCCGCAAAAATAACCGCCAGAATAGATTACTCACAATGCACCACTGACCCATATATAAATAGTCAAGGAAAAATTTAACATTTACAGCCTGACGATTGCGCCTAGCATGAAACAGCCTGTTGACTTCAATGTTCATATATATATATATATATATATATATATATATATATATATATATATATATATATATATGGTTGCATGGACAGTAGTTTGTAACCCTGGTTTCACGCTTCAGATGAACTGGTTTTTTTTTTCAAAAGTGGATCTATTTATGCTTTATTTGTGTTTGATTATTTGTGTGTGGTGGAGTGGGGAAAATTTGTTCTGTTTTGTGTTGTTTGATTTTTATTTGTTAATCATGTTTCATGTGAATTCAACTTGTTGAACCAATGTTAGTTGAATTTGTGGTGTTCTGAATTTCAAGTTCTGAGAAATTAATGGATTCCAAGCTTAACTGAAAAACTGTAAATATTGCTTTATTTATGTAAGTGTGTAATAATTCTAGTTTGTCTATGCAGGATTCAGATGAAAATATATATTCATGTGTGTGTCTGGTAGACATTATGTTTGGTGGGTTTTCAGACGTTGATTTGGGAATGGTTTTATATACATACCATTTGTTCTAGATAAACATACATTAGATTCTTTAAGAATGGATTCAATAAAAGTTGGTGATATAATGTTTTTGATGAGTGTGATGAGTGTATATAGTTGGAATATTGTTATTAGTAGGCCCTCAAAGTACTTTTCATGTAAAGAATTATGTTCTTTTTTTAAATTTGAGTGCCATTTGTAAAATCAAAGTTATGGCCAGTTTTGTTCCTGGTTATTAAGATAATATGTATGGTTCAGCAGAAATACCTCCCAGATCATGGTAAGACATTAACAAGATGAAGGTAACATAACAACTAACGTCTCATCCAATACAAACATCTTTATTTGGGATATTTTAATTATTTTTCAAGATAAAGAATGGAATTCTTTTTTATATCAAAATTCACGCAGATTACACAAGAGAAAAATTATCTTTTTACTATGTTCAGTTGCATATCAAACTTTGATCATTTTCAACTTCAGGTATTTAAAAGTTAATTTTCTAAAATGATGAAAATGTGATGTATTTTTACAATAAGCAAAAAGTAAGAACAATCAGGTTTGAACTATTTATTTTGTAGGGCTTTTTTAGCAAATAAAAAATCCTATAACAGTTTAGATACCATCCATATGAAAGTGTCAATATGACGAGGTTATTTAAGAAAATGACTAGAATTTTCTGGTTGATGTTTTGGTTTTGTAGCAGTGTTGGGCAAAATTACGTCAAGAACAAAACCTATTCTAGGTTCAATTTCTTTTCCTTCTATACTTAATTTATTATAGCTGATCCATATGCAGAGGTATCTGAAGTGTTTAATATTTACAAATTCCACAATTTTTGTCATGGATGGATGTAGTTATATGTATATCCTACAGTTGAGATTCTATTCTAGGAGGAAAATCAGGCAAATATACTCTTTGTAAGTAAAAGTGGAAGAGAATTTACAAGCAAAGCATTTTGCTTTATCAGCAGTATATGACAACACTTCAAACTGATTGGAGGAAGGATTATTTACAAGAATAATTTTATATATACATGATTATAAAAATGTGAACCAAAAAAAAAAAAAAAATTAAAAAACCTTAATGCATAAATCCAAATATTCTCATTGTATTTTAGGAAATTCATGGAGTTGCTTACCTGGCATTCATATTTACATTTCTCTCCAACAAAAACTTGACCATGTTTTGATGACCCGCATAAGTGGCATGAAACAAGACCGTCCAACCACGATAATCCTGTCCTTCTAGTTCTGCACCATTCTAGAAAGAACGCAACAAAAGTTTGTCATATTTTTCACATATAATACTCATATATTTACAGATGATACTTATACACATGGCTGGCACATAATACCCGCAAAGCCCTGATCAAGACCAATTCGGTGTCACAGATAGTACTTTGTGACCCTTGCTACATTATCAACATTTACTTTTTCTACCTACATTTATATATATGTTACAAATATATCCAAGCACAAATAACTATTATAGGATGAAAATTTTTTTTGCAGATATTGACATAATTCTGGGGGTCACTTTTTTTTGCTAAATTTTGCCAATTATTTTTGCTTATGCTAATTCTCAAAAAAACACTATATAAAAAAATTCACTATTTTTTATCCATAATGTTGAATGTGTTAAAATTATTCAACCTTTTAACAAGAAAAATCTCAAGTTGATGTTAAAAATTGCCACAAAACATTGTTGAATTATTTAAGATGGAATGATCTATTATTATATATCTCTAATTTGTATCTAGATACATTTTATTTATTTTCAATTTTTCTAGTTGAATTGTTCACCTGTATTGCACATGATCCAGTATTGTAGATAATTAGGTTATAATAAAATTTGTATTTTATATGAATACCATCTTATGAAAATTGAGATATAGTAGAAAGATAATTTGTATCATAGATCCAAGAGAGCACAAGACCCTTGCACCGGCCCTGTTTATACATACACGTAAGTTGTTATAAAGTGGAAAAAAAAATATCAAAAAAGAAAAAGAAAACAGATTTTCACAAAATGTGGAAGGATTTTATACTAATTACGACCAATAATAACTTGGTCATTAATTCATGCAACTAGTATTACCAAGTTGCTATGAATTTCTGAAGATAAAATTTTGGTAATGTTTAACCTTTGTACCTGCAAAAATACTGTGTGTCAAAAGGATGGTCATTCCCTTGACACTACTATTACTGTATACACTTTTGACTCCCTCAGCAATTCAACCCAAGCAAGGTGATGCCATTAGGATGCAAGGGGTTACTGGGAGTGGAAGAGAATGAAAAAAAACTTTAGAAGAAACCAGAAACCTAGTCCTAAACAGGAAACAAGGGATAAACCTCTACTCCTGTTCAAAAGGACTGAGGAAATGTGTGAACTGGACAAGAGGCAAGCCTACATACTAATATTGAGGAAAAAAATAGTAAATAAAATTACAGAGTTTAGGCAAAGATGTTGCATATAAGAAAATAGAGATAAAAGAAAAAAAATAAAAGATAAAATTAAGGACAATAACATGGTGGTGGGTCAAATATATGTATTTACATTACATGTAAAATAACCTTATTCTATCAGTAATATTTGTTTTAATCAATTCACCCCAAGCAAGGCGATAATGCCACTAAGACACAAGGAGCTACCGGGAGTGAAAGAGAATGAAAAAGACCTCACAAGGAACAGGAAACCCAGACCTGTTCACAAGATTGGGGAGGAGTGTGAACAAGATGATGAACAGACATATCTGCTCTTATTCTTATAAATAAGCAATCTAATAAATAAATATTGCTAATAGTATTAATATGTTTGTTGTCATTTCTCAAGAATAAAGAAAACATAAGTCCACTTTCACATGTCTGGTTTTATTAAGATTCTAATCATAGCTTTTAAAAATATAAACATTGTTGAGGGCATCAAAAGTGGATACAATAATAGTAACGACGAGTGAGAGAGAAAAAGAAGGAGTGAAAGAAATAATGCACACGTCAGCGAGAGGATGAAGTGTACCACCATTTAGCATGAGTTTATTGACCTCAAGACTAACTATACACTAACAAACATTTCTACCAATGTAGTCAAAACTCCCATCTCATGTAACAACTTTTGCTTTTTCTAGAATTTCAAAAGTCAACAAAGCAAAACTGTTACAATATGTTTGGGACATTAATAAAATTGTTTTATCTAATTTTCAAATTTTATTTTAAATTTTTTATGAAAATTTGAAAATTGACACAAATTGATGCTCACTTCACTTGTGAACCATGCTTATGTGTGATGCTGGTCTGTGACAAGCATAGAGGACACCATGTTGACTGGTATGCATAATGAAATGGATACGTGAGGGTTGAATTGAATTCACTATGTTGTAAATAAAGGGCTCATGAGGTTGGTCAGTTGATTTTTTTAGTTGCATATCAACCTACAGGTTATTTAATGCTGAAATCTAAATATTTTGATCACAATTTTATGGCTTCAACTATAGATAAAATGTATTGTGGGTCATTTTCTATAAAATGTATTGTTGATAATTTTACTATAAATATGTATTGTTGGTCATTTTTTTCATAGAAAAATATATTGCTGGTATTTTTATTATAAAAATGTATTTATACTTTTATAGTGTTTTTATTTTGTTTAAGGGTTCACTATTTACCCATAGCTGGGACCCTAACAGGTGCTACCACCCCAAGTCAGGATGGACCAGGGACAACAGCAATTGATTTTTACTATATAAATGTATTTTTATAATTTCATAGTGTTTTGTTTTTGAGTTCACTATTTACCCATAGCTGGGACCCTAACAGGTGCTACCACCCCAGGTCAGAGTGGACCTGGGAACACCAGCAATTAAGAGGTGGTTCCACTTTCCTCAAAACCTCCTGATCAGAAGCCTTGCTGTTGGATATAGTTCATCGTCTTACCCAGGATGTAGATGTAGTTTATCCCAGGACGAGCAGATAGTGAAGGGGATATGCTTTGCTTAAATAGGGTAAAAAAAGGCTTGCTTACTGTGAAGTCCTTCGTGGTTGAGCAGTAAAATATACTAGACCAAACGGTAGTTTCCTCTACAGAGGGAAATGCATGTTCAATCTCTACTGGAGGACACATTTTTGAGAGATCTTTCTTGAATGTGCAGGCCTGAGTACAGTCTGAAAAAGCTTTTACAAAATGTCTAAAAACAGAACTTATTGTAGGTTCCAAATCTATTGTGCATAATAATGCGAGAAAAAGGACCTTTTACTCTGATCAGTTGAAAAGGAAAATGACAAACCTGACATAGGCAATGGGCAACTCGATCGTTTCCACAACTTGCAGCCAACATCAATGCTGTTTGGCCTTTGTGATTAGTGATGTTTGCATCTGCGTCAGCTTTCAGTAAGAGGTTAAGAATATTTTCATGACCAATGTAGCTGGCATACATTAAAGGTGTCCAACCTCCTTTATTACAAATATTGATGTCCACTTCTTTTCTACACAGGAAAACAAATTAAAAAAAAAAAAAAAAAAAATGATTATTAGATAAAAGCAAATTTCCTGTAAAACACAATAGGTTAGTTTTATCATTACTAATTTTCTTTCATCTTATTATTGTTGCTTTTTATCCTAACACTCTGGGTCAATAAACTCTTACTATTACCATTATTTTATTACCAGTTTTATTCCATATTATTATTGTTGCTTTTTTATCCTATCACTCAAGGTCAATTCACTCTTCATCATTAATGTATTACTAGTTTTACTTTTATTATTATTTTTATTCCAACACACTAGGTCAATTCACTCTTCATCATTAAGATATTTTATTACTAATTTTACTCCATTTTATTAGGTACCCCAAACTGCCCTTGTTTACTCCCAAAATGTGTCAAAGAGTGAAAGTTCCTTCTATTTCAACTACCGATATCTCATTTATTTTCAAAGCTATTTTGATAAAATCAAACAAAACTTAATTTTTTCTCAGTTCTTTTTTGTGTATGATGATTAGTTTTTTTATTCTACTTCTCTTTAAATTCTCTATTTCAATGACGAGTGGTTGTTTTTCCGCATCTTCAAAGTTGTCTGTTTCATAGTGGGTGTTTTTAAAACTACACATTGAAATTTGTATTGCTAACTGAATGAGTGAACATTGCCAGCTGAACCTGATTTTAAATGACTTGTTTCATTAATGCATATTACACAGTTTTATTTGTTTTTCATATATTTTCTTTAATGTTATACATTTGAAAACTGCCTAAAGTACTTTTATACTCAAACCAGTTTGACCTTGACACTTTCTTAAAATAAAAAAAAAAAATTCAACAGAGTTCTTATCAGATGCAATTTGCAGGTCAGGGACAATAAAATCAAGCAGGTGTGGAAGTTTAAATATCTGGGAAGCGTTTTGACAGAGGATAGTAAGTGCAACACTGAGATCCATAGACGTATTGGGATGGCCAAGGATGCATTCCAAAAACTGGGCAGGAGGATCTCTTTGGTAACAAAGAAAAGACAGGAGGATCTCTTTGGTAACAAAGAAAGGAGTAATGAGCTGTTATGTGATATCTGTCCTCCTTTATGGCCGTGAATGTTGAACGGTCTCCACAAAGAGACTCAAGGCGATGGAGATGTGGTTCTACAGAAGGAAGCTGAGGATATCATGGACCAAGCATGTGAGCAATGATGAGGTCTTAAAGAGGATACAAACAAGGCGGAGGCTTATACTGCTGGAAAGAAAAACAATATAAAATATCTGTAGACATAGACAGCAAATAGGAACAATCTGCTTACTGCAGGTTGAAGAAAAGATTCAGTTTGAAATTCTTTGAAGGTTACACTAATCGACAGATGCCTGAAGAAGGCCAGAGAGAAAAAGAGCTGAAACGTTATGATGATAATGAGGATGAGGACATTAGTGAAATTGTAAATAATATATTTTTATTACTAGTTTTACTCCATCTTCTTATTGTTGGTGGGTACATCGATGTGGTGTAATGTTTAGCAAGTTTCTCTCGCTAGATCAATTACAACTGAATAAGGAGTTTGTTCTTCACTGGATGCCTCACACTTTCAGCCTTGTGCCACATCTAAGCTATGCTTAGAAAATCACCATCCTATTATTGTTGGTTTTAATCCCAGCACTGTGGGTTAACACTTAATGCATTATTTTATTACTAGTGTTATAATGTTGAATATTAGTAATATTGACTATTACCAGTGTTATAACATTGAAAATGCATTGTAATGAAAAGAAAGAAAGAAAGAAAGAAAGAAGAGTCCCACCTTGCAATGATTGTTCGAACACATTCATAATGACCAATGCTGGATGCTGTGTGTAGGTCTAATGGACATGGAGCAAAATCATCATCATCATCATCAATAGCCACCCAGCCCCTCCATAAGGACAGGCTACGGTCAAGCAGCTCATTTTCAGACGATTCGTCTGATGCTTCGTATGAGCTGTTTTCCTGCCTAAGACTCATTGTGCTGAAAAAAAAGAACAGTCTTGTTGGCCCCTACATGGTTTCTGATGCTCTTCGTGAGGTCATGCTCATTATTAAGCTACCTTATATGCCCTGCAAAGAAGCAGTTACAATTACACCAAAAAATTGAAACACTCAGTTTAAGTACTGAATGCTTATAAAAAAAAACAAAAAAACTTAATATAATAGTTGGTGTTTTTATTCAATCTTTAACCATTAGGCTTACTTGGGTAGCTTATCAAAAACTGAGTAGCTGTACATACAACTGTCATTGTATTTGAAATTGTGATCTTTAAGTGACACTTAGCAGAGCAACAAAGACATTTTATGCATAGAATTTAAATTCTGGGATGAAGAATTGAAAAGGTCAAAAGTTGATTTTCTTCAGGTGAATACATCTTCATATTTTAAGTGGACAGATAACCTAGAAAAGAAAAACAGAATTTATTAAAATTTAATAACTGCTGCTATGACATGAAAAAAATAATATTCATTTGTAATTTTTTTTTATACTAATGTTTACCTACTACAAGGCCTAAGAGCCACTCAAAGCAGAGGGTTACTGTGTGCTATTTATGAGCAACATAGGGTTATGCAGGAAAGATAATGGTTAATTGGTTACTGTGTGCTATTTATGAGCAACATAGGGTTATGCTGGAAAGATAATGGTTAATTGGTTACTGTGTGCTATTTATGAGCAACATAGGGTTATGCTGGAAAGATAATGGTTAATTGATGGCTTGAAGTGGTCAAGATTGTAGTGATTGGGAAAACATCCTGCCAGGAGTCTGCTCCACAAAGCAGCAGTTCCTAGGAAGAAGCTGTCCGAAAGGAAAAAAAAAAAAACACAAAGTGTAAAGGTTAACAGTGGTAGGACTAAGGAGTATTGCTCGTCAGAACACATGGCAGGGAAACAGCCATAGAGCAGTGAAAGGCTCAAAATGTTTTATCTGTGGTAAAGGGCTTGTAGTGGAGGAACAATTCATCACCCACAAGGCCATGTAGATGCTTTTGAAATGTATCAAGACAGGCAAGTGAGGCCTGGGTAGCTCCAGCACATATATGGCAGCAGTACTCCATTTTTGGTTTGATTTGACTCTTATAAAGATAGAGGGGAGAGTCTCATACTTAATGGAGTGGCACAATGGACCGACCATTTTCCAGCATTTTTAAAAGATCAGATATATGAGTTCAACTTGAGGTCTGGGGAGAGCTTGAGCCTCAATAGTTTTGCCATGATGTAAACTATATATTAAGTGCCACAGACTAACAATTACACTTGTTCTGGAACTATTGCAAGAAAACAACTTCAATCACCTCCAAAAGATTAGACCACACAAAGAAAAAAAAAAAAAAAACATTGTTAGTATGTATAATTGTTGGTAGCCTAAGAAAAAGGCCATTAAAATGTTTAGGAAATAAAAAAAAGGTTTAAAAATGAAAATGAAAACTAAAAGTTGTAATTTTTATAAAAAAAAATTACTTTATTTTTAGTTTATGATTGTCTGTTTAATGACACATCAACTCCTTATGGGTCATTTAATGCCAAAAGTTAATTTTTTTGGGAGCTTGAAATTAATAAAAATATGTTATTTTGCTTTCACAACTGAATACATGGTAAATGATACTCAGATTTTTTGCATATACATGCTTATGTGGAGAGGTAGTGATATGTATGCTTTATGTTGTAGATTTGTTTTTAGTTATATTTTGGAATACAATTTGATTACTTTAAGAAATTGTATGATACTATATAGATTAATGTCATGAAAGTTCTTTCATGTTGATTTTTAGTATTTTAAAATAAATGGATTTGGCTAAAGTCGCTACAACTTGCTAGTATGTGTGTACTGTTAATTGAGCCTAACTCACTATAGCACTGGAATTATTGAAAAGTCCTGTATTAATGTCCATTAAAAAAACCCAAAAAACAACTGCTTGACTACTGTTTACGAAGCCCACAGTCCTGGAGGTAACCAAGAACTTGGATAAAACAGTTGATTAAGATGGAATATGAGAAGAGTAAGTAAGACTAATTGACTATATTGATGAAATTGAAATCTCATGAAAATATTTTGACAAGTAGACCGCAGACGTCATTGAATAATCGAATCACCATAATTGAATTGTTACTATATCTACCGTTAATTCTAATTAGGTTGAATTATAATTGAGTTGCTTATTGAAGGCAGATCTGGTACAATAATAGGTGAGGTTATAGTTGTTTTCCTTTGGTTTTCTTTGAATTCATTCTTTGCTGTCGTCATTATCATTTAGTCTCTACGTGTGTTTATCAATTTCATTTTTTCAACTCAAATGTTTTTAAGTTGTATTCTTTCACGATCGTGGAATTTTAACAAGTGACCGTAAACATTTTTTTTTTAAATTTTAATACCAGCTTTAGTTTTGTTTAGGGTTAGGTATCAGAGTTATGTTTTTAATTACTAAGACATCTCTTTGTGTAACGTAAAATTTACGGTGAAAGATTAAAAAGTATTTTTTGTCGATCAGCTGCACGAGTCAAGTAGGGATTTATTCAAAAATAAATAATAAAAAGCAAATATACACAGAAATAAACAAAACAAAAAAAAATATATAAGAATTTCATGAATTTTTACTCTCAAATCACGGTCATCAACTCTTCAACAAGTGCATATATAAAACATGTAAATAATTAAACTTTGGATTTTTTTTTTTTTAATTTGATTAAAAAATTAAAAAAAGAAAAAAAAAAAAAGGAACTGTTTTTGCTTTACGGAATCGTTACAAGTTACTTCGTTTTTGGAAAAAAAAAAACTACAAAACTTTTTTTTCTTTACCCACCAAAACTTTTTCGCATGTTTTGATGGAACAAAAAAAAACTTTTCGTAAAGTTTAAAGAAAAAATAATAATAAGGAAACGGAGATTTTGATGAGAAATTTACAGAATAATTCAAACAAAAAAATTAAATTAATATGACATTGATGAAATAAAAGTGTAAATTACCATCGCGTTTCGAAAAGTTTTGGCAAAAACTTCAAACGGTTCTTACGGCCATGTTCACAACTTGTCCAAGTTTTAAGCGGTGTTGTTTCTTATTAGTTAACATTTTAATAAAGTTCCAAGGTCCTCCCTACTTTTTTATACCTCGCCGTGGTTTGTGTATTTCAATCAGTAGAAACGAAAGAAAAAAAAACGAAAAAGAGAAGCAAAGCAAAACAAAAAACAAAACAAAAAAAACGGTATTAATTTAATCAAAACATGCCGTGTTTACTTTATTCAATGCAGTAACAATTTGTTTTTCTTCCTTTTTAACTTTAATCTTGTCAATAAAATCCGAATACTGATATTTTTTTTTTTTTAGATATGGTGGACGTCAGTCTTACGGAGGATTACGAGTCTCAGACGTTCGATACTTGTGGTCTTCATCCACGGCGAAGTGCTACGTTGGATCGGGGTGGATTTATTCTAGAAAATCGGAACTAAAAACAGAAAACTAAACTTACCTTCTTGGCTTCAATTTAAAAAGGTTTGCTTTCTTTCGCTCGTTAAAACAAATAAAATCAGAATATCCCTTTAATTTTTATTTTTAAAGGAATATTCTATGTTTAACAAAAATACGAAACTGAAGGTTGAAGTAACCATGATTAATGAAAAAGAAATACCCAAAAAAGAAATGCATTGACAAAGTTAGGATGCTTGTCTCCGTTGGTAGTTGCATAATTAAAAGAAAAAACTTGTAGTTCCAATGAATGATTTATTTCGTAGCAGTTGCCAATCTTGGTCACTCCTTAATTTGACGATCATGGCTTTCCACAATTTTCTGACCTTTCTAGTTCTGAATATATTTTGTCTTTTTATAATAGCTCTTAAACCCTGTTCTGCGAGTCATTTACCAAAGCTCGGTAGGTAGGTTATTGATGTAATGATTATGCATACACCTGGGTTCCCCCTCACAGTAATATGATTGGCTGGTGTCAGCCATAAATACAGACTGATGTGTAGGTACAGGGAGGACGCCTATTGTCTTCGCCTATTGCCTACGCCTATTGCCTACCACTACGACGAGGACCAGTCCATTACGGTTACCTGCTAGATTGTCCTACTCGATTACAGTAGTCCAAAACCACTTTCCGGGACATATCAGTTACGCACTGTTTTCCTTTGTTCCTCTTGCCTTCAATCTGTCCTGTGAATATCAAATTTTCCAAGCCCTCTCTCCTCATCACGTTCCCTAGAAATTTCAACTGTATCTTTCTTATTCTAATTATTTGTCCTTTTTGTTTTCATTTTATTTAAAACTATGTCATTGCTTCCATGTTCGGTTTATGGTATTCTCAGCATCCTTCTATAGAATCACATTTTTCTTGCTTTGTCTGTTCTTCATTTTTGAGGAGATGGTCCAACATTCACTGTCATATAGGAGGACTGATATTATATGACAGTACAGTACTCTTTTCATGATTTCTAACGAAATATTCCTGTTCCTTAATACTTTAGCTTTTGGAAGGCAACTGTGCAGATCTATTACGTACGAACATACATATATACAAAAATACAAATCACATACAACGCCAAGCATTCACTGGTTAAATAATCACCACTACGTTATTATAGGCAATTTACAAATCGCAGCAATGCGACAATTTTGTAATTGCTCTATTTTCATGTAGTCAGTTTTGTGCACTTTTGGGAGAAACGGATCAACCTTGAGGACACATGATACAGTGAATAAAGGCGTTAGTTAGATCCAGTGACAAGGCCCAAAGAGTGTGAGATCAGTAGTAGAGGCATGTTTAACGAAGCCGTGAACATGGGCGCACAACTGCACAAGGAAGAGATCCGTCGAGGTTCCGATCGATACATTCGTGAGATCAAAACCCTGGTGGTGGTCGACTGACAATATGTGTGAGGCGTTTCGGCGTCATTTCGAGAGCCGGTTTACCAAAGATCCTGGACTCAGTGGGGATTAGTTTCGCAGCTAATTGCCTGACATTCCTAGACTTTCGCCTAAGGCTAT